ATTTTTTTTAAATTTATTTTATTTTAACTCATTTTATTTTATATAATTTTTTTAGATTATTTTGTTTTGTTTTATACTAGTTTTTTTATTTTAATTTGTTTTATTTCAAATTTGTTTTTAATTTTTATTTTATTATATGGTATCTAAATTATTTTGTTTATTTTTTTGTCTTGTTCTGTAAGTCTGGTGTTCTTTAAGGAAGTTAAAATTACAGAATACTACATTTTTTCAAGATACAATTATTTGAATTATAATTTAAATAATCATCTAATCATTTAAAGTACTTTTATTATATATGTATTTACTTATGTTTATATATTTACTTAATCTTCATTTTGTATAATTTTTAAATAGAATCGCAATACTCAATTTAAATACTGGGCACTATCAGGTGAGCCAATGGTTATGTGGCTTTCTGGTTTGCATATACCTCAAAGTTATCTAACAGCATTAGTTCAGGTAATTGTTTTAATCATATCGTTAACCATATCATTTATCATTTGGTAATATTAAAAAAAATATCTCTACTATTTCATATTTTCAGATTGCTTGTCGCAAAAATGTTTGGCCATTAGACAGATCAACCTTATATACTTGTGTTACAAATTATACAGACCCAGATGATATTGAAGAACGCCCAGCTACGGTAAGAACAAACAGAGTTTTATGCCTATTTTCAATATTAACCAAATAGAAGATACAGGGGTTCCTAATAAGAAAAACTTTATATATTCACTAAATAAAGTAATTTACGAACTATATAAAGTGTTTTATATAGGTACTTATGTATATATGTATATATGTATATATGTACTTATATATATATATATATATATATATGAAGTGCTTTATATATTAAATAAACTTCAATATGAATATGAATAAGAAAACATACAAGACTGTGAAAATATACAAGACTTGTATTTTTTTACGGTTTCCTCTATTGGACTTAAGTTTTACATACAGTTTTAAGTTATTCGTTTTCAATATTAGCGACAATTTATTATTAAATTATTATTAAAAAGTTATTTATTAGTGAGTTATCATTAATTTCTTAATTAGTTACAATTACTTGAAAAAATAAACAATTCTAAAATATTTTTATTTTGATTTTCCTCAAATACATGAGTTTATATTTATAGAAATATTTTATGTTGCTCTTCCATTAAGGTGCATAGCACCTAAAAACGAAGATGAATTTCTATTCTACTACTCTCGCGATGCAAATTTTGGCAAAAAACAAACAATTAATATCTTATTGATTAATTCTATTGACAAACCATTTGGTTAAGTGCAAGCACATAAAAGCTCATTTGTTCCACCCACAAACCTAATACCAGAATTTCTCTCTAATTAGCCATTCCGATTGAATGTTAATCATGTCAACTCACTTTATATCTCGTTTTTCTTTTTTTCTTGCTTATGACTCTTCTGTTGCTCTGTCAAAATGTCAATGAACACATCATGTCCGTCTTTGTATTGCTGTCATCGACTAATAGGGCTGCTACATATCTGGACTTTACATTGAAGGCGCTCGGTGGGATATGAAAATCAATGAATTGGCGCGTTCGCATCCCAAAATTTTGGTGGAAGAATTACCAATTATGTCAGTTGTGCCAATAGAAGTTCACAGACTGAAATTACAGGTCAGTATTTAATTTTATTAATTTTGTTTTTTTGTTTTTGTTAAAATTCGTTCTCATGCATAATTGTGTGGAAAGTGAAAATTTAATAATGTACTCTTCTTTATTTGGATATAATATAGAATACGGCGATCTATGCCATATTTACTAATATCTATTTAATATTTTTATTTTTTCATTTTGCTTGGGTTGACCAAACAATGCCAACTGCAACTGACAAGTACTAATTTGAAATTAGTTCAAGTTTGTTCGTGTGCCATAATTTCACATATTAAAGTACAAAAATGTTCAAACGTTTTTCATTTCACACATTGGGAACAAATTCGTTTTTTTTTTAATAATAATAATGACCTTCATTATAAAAAATTTATTTTTGTTTAGAACACCTACCGTTCTCCAGTGTACACAACATCCTTACGACGCAACGCTATGGGTGTAGGTCTCGTGTTCGAAGCTGACCTAGCCACATCGGAAGATTTAAGTTTATGGATTTTACAAGGAGTTTGTTTAACATTAAATACTGACTGAAAAATTTTTAAAATGTTTATTTTTTAACTTCAAATCTATTAAGTTCTCATCTTTTTATTATTTTATTTGAATATATTTTATTGTTATTAATTGGATACAAATAAAAAGTATATACTAATTTATTTTATATGCAATTTTAATGATATATAATAATATAAACATTAGAAACACAAATTGACATGGTTTAACACTTGACTGAGCTCTCATGAACTATTATAAATAATACTTTCAAAAAATAAAGTATGATGCCTATGGTACTATATTAAATAGGGGCGTCGATAAAAGTGAGAACGAAAACAGAGTGTTACACTGATTTGGTGCTTAGAAACTTTTACTCAAGTGGTGTTCGGAATTATAATCTTTTTCAAAAAATTTCTAATCAACCTAGCAAAACATGTTTTTGTGTACATTTTTTGAAATGTTATCTACTTAATTTTTCATATATAATAAACTCACTATTTAAATATCGTTTCTTATAAGAGAGTTTTTTCTATTACCATCCTTTTTGCTATAATCGCCTATTGGAAAAAAAGTTAACTTCTGTTTTTTCGACACAATAGAATTTTTTATTTGGTACCTATACATAATAGATAGTATAAAATATTTCTTTAAAAAAAGTGTGTATTGTTTTTATTTAATAGGTAATAAAGTTAAACAATATTCCAACATTCCAACTGATATAAAACCAATTGCTAAAATTCAAAGAAATATCTAATTTATGCTAAATGATCAACATTCTGCATTTGGTGCATAACCCAAAAACATAGAAATATAAAGACATGTAATTTGCCTCTGTTAAAAAAATCATGAATTCTGAAAAGGTACACGCAATGGGAAAAACATGTCTGTTCAAACGTATAAACAATCGAACTTATTATTTTATGTATGATCAATGCTATTTTGTTAGGGAAGTCAGCAATCAAACCAATAGCGAACATGTTGTATTTTGCTTGCACAAAATCATATAGAAAAAACTCTAATATCAGAGCAAATGCACACATAGCTTCTAGCTCATGCGTATGTAAGTTTCTTGGTAAATTTTTTCTACTCTTCTTTTTATTGCACACTTACTAAATATATATATGCATGGGTAGGTGAGACAATATTTTTGAATGTGATGCTTGAATTTTGTTTGTGTGCTTTTTTTTTCTTAAAATATATGACTGGCTTCGTGTGCATAAAATGCACAAGTCTTCCAAATTATTTAAAATTTGATTTTTGCTGAAATTTTATACTGGCTTCATACTAATATATGATGTTTGCCTATGACATGATGCGAAAACACCGGAGTAGCGCAACCACAGTTGTTATTAGTGTAAATGCTCTTAATATGTTTGGCTATCAAGACTCGGCTATGCCATACAGTAACAATAGTTTTATGAAGAATATTCATATATACCATATTATACAATAATTGATTATGTTTTATATATTAAGTTTTTATTATTATATTCTTATATCAAATACAATAGAATTATTAACTAAATTTATTACTTAAATTATATAGAATACAACTATAAACCTTAGATAACTAATTATACATTAACTTAAATAAACTAGAACTATTAACTAAATTTAATTGCATATTACTTATAACTGTTTAAAATAAGTTCATTTATTTAGGGTGAATATTTTTGTTTCATTGCTAATTTTTCTAAACATTTATAAATAGTATATTTTTTATTAAAATTTAAATTTTTGCAATTGTTTTTAATATGCTGGTAAATTTTGCACTATATTAACAATTTTTTGGTTTAAAAAACCCTCAGTATTGCCATTTAAATGGCATTGAAGATATCATAATAAAGTTATTAAAAATTAAAATTACTTATTAATTTGATATAACTTATTAAAAGTATTAATTAATATAATTAAGTTAATGTTTTACACAGAAGTTCAAATATTTACAATTTCTTTAATTTATTGTTAAATTTTACACTATTTTTTTTAAGTACCCAGTTTGATTTAGCACTTTTATTGAAAAGTTTTTTAAGTTTTAAGTTTTTAAGTTTATTATTTATTGTTAATTTTTCTAATCATTCATAAATATTATTAGACTAATATATTTACATAAATATAAATTTTTACAATTTTTATAATTTACTTTTAAATTTTGCATTATCTTGGCTACTTTTTAGTAGCCACTTTGAGTTCTTATATAATAGAACTTTTATTAAGAAGTCCAACAAAATTTCGCGATGGCTACCGCACATCGGCTCCTCAAACCAATTTTCGCTTTGTACATTTTTTTTCATTTCTTCTTTTATGCTATTTATTATAATTTTTTTAATGCCATTTACATAATAATACTCTTCAAATATTTTTTTAAAAATTTCAAAATGTAAAACGCACATTTTATAGAGATCGTCAGAAGGATTTTTTAGTAAAAGGTGATCACCTTTTACTTTCTTTTTCAAAAAAGAATACCATTTAAATGGTATTAAAGAAATCTTAGCAAACACTATAAAAAAAAGAAATAAAAAAGTTTATAACAATAATTGATTTAAGGATCCGATTTACGGGTGCCACAATGAAATTTTGTTAAAAAACTTTTCAATAAAAGTGCTAAATCAAACTGGGTACTTAAAAAAAATAGTGTAAAATTTAACAATAAATTAAAGAAATTGTAAATATTTGAACTTCTGTGTAAAACATTAACTTAATTATATTAATTAATACTTTCAATAAGTTATATCAAATTAATAAGTAATTTTAATTTTTAATAACTTTATTATGATATCTTCAATGCCATTTAAATGGCAGTACTGAGGGTTTTTTAAATCTGAAAAGTTGCTAATATAGTGCAAAATTTACCAGCATATTAAAAACAATTGCAAAAATTTGAATTTTAATAAAAAATATACTATTTATAAATGTTTAGAAAAATTAGCAATGAAACAAAAATATTCACCCTAAATAAATAAACTCATTTTAAACAGTTATAAGTAATATGCAATTAAATTTAGTTAATAGTTCTAGTTAATTTAAGTTAATGTATAATTAGTTATCTAAGGTTTATAGTTGTATTCTATATAATTTAAGTAATAAAATTTAGTTAATAATTCTATTGTATTTGATATAAGAATATAATAATAAAAACTTAATATATAAGACATAATCAATTATTGTATAATATGGTGTTTATGGATATTCTTCATGAAACTATTGTTACTGTATGGCATAGCTGAGTCTTGACAGCCAAACACATTAAGAGCATTTACACTAATAACAACTGTGGTTGCGCTACTCCGATGTTTTCGCATCATGTCATAGGCAAACATCATATTTTAGTATGAAGCCAGTATAAAATTTCAGCAAAAATCAAATTTTAAATAATTTTGAAGACTTGTGCATTTTATGCACACGAAGCCAGTCATATATTTTAGCAAAAAAAAACACACAAACAAAGTCCAAGCATCACATTCAAAAATATTGTATCACCTACCCATGCATATATATATTTAGTAAGTGTGCAATAAAAAGAAGAGTAGAAAAAATTTACCAAGAAACTTACATACGCATGAACTGGAAGCTATGTGTGCATTTACTCTGATATTAGAGTTTTTTCTATATGATTTTGTCCAAGCAAAATACAACATATTCGCAATTGGTTTGATTGCTGACTTCACTAACAAAATAGCATTGATCATACATAAAATAATAAGTTCGATTGTTTATATGTTTGAACAGACATGTTTTTCCCATTGCGTGTACCTTTTCAGAATTCATGATTTTTTTAACAGAGGCAAATTACATGTCTTTATATTTCTATGTTTTTGGCATAACACTGTGCAATTTCTTTGTAGTTAACATAGATTCTGTTATTATTCCACTGTTAGTTGTCAGTTTTATTTTTACGCTGTTATTTCTGACTTCACGAACTTAAACGCTTCTTGCTAATTGTGATTATGGATAATAAAATAACATGCTTAACTTATTCAACGGAAGCTGGGTAAAATGTTTTATTTTTATTTTTTGCATATAAAAATAATTTTTATTGCTGCTTATTTTTCAATTGAAAACCGCAATTGGAATTTAAAATGACTGTTATTCAAAAACAGAATATAAATGGCAATTACTGCTATTGAATGCTACTAATTAATTGATAGGCAGCATTGCCTATCATTCATACACGACGTACAAGTATTATGTGTTATCAGAAAAGATATATAACCAGTATGGTCTTTGCAATAATAATTAACGAATAACAAGGAATTTGTGTCACGCAAATAACAAGTACATTAAATTTAATCTTACCGACTTTACTCAGTATTTAAGTCGATGATAATTGATGACACTTTTAATACATTACTATAAAAAAAATGGCGATATTAAGAAACCAATGTTTCTAATGACTTATAACTAGGAATTGAAATATATCGTTTTAAAAACGAAAGCAATTTTTATGGTTATTAGAACCAGTAAAATGATATTATACGAAATTCTTGCGTTTTGCGATTCGAAAAGTGGATATGCATAATTTACATATCATATAAATTTCGCAGGGTGCAGTAATTAAATACAAGAAACTGATGATAAGTATTTGACAATGTTCGAAGCAGCTCTATTGCCAGCCAAAAAATCAGTTAATTAAAAATAATAGAAAAAATAACCTCTTCTTCCAATTTCTATACTGTTCAATAAAAATTTCTCCATTTAAAACAATAATTTAGTTTCCTTCGTCAAAACAGATGTTAGAATTTAATTAAAAAAAATAATAAAAAAAAGAAATTTTTTTGTTGCTGCAATTTCACTACTATTCGATAAAAAGCTTTCTATTGAAAACAATAATTTATAAAAGAATTTAGTTTTTTTATCAAGATAGATTTTTAGATTCATTTTAAAAGTGAATATAGGAACAGGTCTGTAATATGAGTTCATTGAAATACTTTATTACACTCTGTTTCTATTTATCCTTGTTTCTAACTCTCTCAGTCTCCAACTCACTCTTGTCTTCCACCGCCTCTTTACAGTACATTTTTTCCTATTTTTCGCATATAAAAACACGACACACATATTTTAATGCTGC